TAACCTAACCTAACCTAACCTAACCTAACCTAACCTAACGAGAAAAAATGTTCTTCAGCTTATAACAGGCAACTTGATGACAATACAAGGATGTATGTAGGCGCGTTGGAAAAGTGAGATCTTCAGCTAAACAGAACGTCGTTTCAAACAAAATACAAAGGGATATTGACTAATAAAAAATATTCATTAAATTAGAATGTTTTAAAGGTACTCTTCTTTTTTATATTACATACATAAACAAACTCATATTTTGATTTGAGACGTTTGCAATACTTTTCAATTCATATCCGTTGTCATGACAAAGTAAATAAATTAGATACAATTTTTTATTAAGCATTACAAATTCACATTAATTGGATCAGTTACAACCAGATTATAATAGAAAATTGAACAGTTCGATATAAAAATAGAGCGTTTATTATAAGTGTTGACAGATTGACGTAAGAAAAGGTAAGAAATATATTACATAGTTTTGTAATAAACAATAATAGATAATTTAATGCTCTTACTAATTAGCCAGTATTATATAACTACCGAAGTCTTTCCGGCTATTGCTACTACTTTTTTTTTTTATTAAATATTTCAATAACGAACACAAACTTCAAATGGTTGACATTGTTTTCATGGCATACTAGGATCAGTTCAGTTTTCATTTGTTCGCATTTATCATTATGTATTTATTTTTGTTTACTTTTTGTACAATATTTATATACAATAATTTACTTACAGATGTTACCAAAAACAAGTCCTAAATCCAGCAAGAAAATTGGTAAAGCTCAGAAGAAAATCTCTAAGAACGATAATAAGAAGAAACGTAAGAGGAAGGAGAGCTACCTAATTTATATATACAAAGTACTTAAGCAAGTACACCCTGACACGGGAATTTCCAGCAAGGCAATGAGTATAATGAACAGTTTCGTTAACGATATCTTCGAGCGGATTGCTGCCGAGGCATCACGTCTAGCTCAATATAATAAGCGATCCACCATAAGCAGCAGGGAAATTCAAACAGCAGTGCGTCTCTTGCTACCGGGAGAACTCGCTAAACATGCTGTTAGTGAAGGTACTAAAGCTGTTACTAAATATACAAGTTCCAAATAAACTGTAACGTTTAATTTGACGTTAATTAATACATTTTATAATTCATATGTTCTATTTAGTATTATGATATGTTTGAATAAATGATATTCAAAGAATCGCAACTTTTGTAATAAACTATGCCGTGACATACAAATTTTAGTAAATTATTCCATTATTTGCTTGCAATAAAACCGTTTAATATTTTGCACTTGTACAAGAAATACAATTTTATAAATTTAATTTTTAACGAGATATTTTATTAATATTAATTTTATAATAAATAATTTAGAGATGGTGTTGATGATGAATTGACGAAATTCCGGACATCCGCACCGTGCATTCCTACAAGCCCCAATTTCGCTTTATTACATAATTTAGCTATAGCATTATCAAATTCCTTTAGAGGTGAATTAAATTTATTAGAAGCTTTCGTAAATGAAACGTGATGGCCTTGGAAGATGGCGAAAAGAAAATAGCATTAAAAGAAAACATTTCAATTTCATTTGTGTATGGTTGAAATCGAATCCGTCTGACCGGATGGCATCTAAGTAGTTCAGTATTGTTTACATTTAAACGCAGTTAATATCGTATATCGCATTCTCGAGCACAATGCATTGGACATTTCAAATTAACAAAACAACTAAAAGGCGTTATAATATTTGAACACTTTGTTTTCTTTTTTTTCAAACAGAACATTTTCTTCAATAAAAACATTTTTCAATTGTTTCATTGCAACTGAACAGTTTCATGTTTTATTCATCCACATATTGTTGACAAATAGAAATAAAATGAATGTAAGAAAAAATCTTTCACTCAAGAGGAAATATGTAAAGGATAGAACAGTGAAATAATGGACCAACGAGTAATAATAATTTTTGGCGTTTTTTTTTTTTACATTTTCACATATTTTTGTCTGTAAGTTTTGTATTGAATTTTGCAATAATAATAATAATAATTTGGCAATGTAATTGGGATGCTTGATATTTGTTGCAAGGGAAAGAAAAGTTTAGGTGTTCATCCACAGGATGAAATGGGTAAAATATTAAATGAAAAGTAAAATCGGAAGCGTCGCCGAAAACGATGACGTAAGAACGCCGATTTACTCAATAAAATCGCGTTGTCGAGGCAGCCGCAGGAAAGCTTATCAAAGGCCCTGCGCGTTTTCGACGCCAAGACCGACGCCAGCCTGCGTACTGGACGCTTCTCGTTGGATATCGATTAAATCGTCAGCAGCAGGAGGCCTCATCCAAAACCAGCCATCTTACGCGAGTACCACAGCCTTTGCCCGGCGTCATCCCCAACGACCATCGCACTGCTGACAAAGCCGACGACTAGCTTAAACCTAGGACCATACGGTGCTTGTACTATTGGTGGATCCATTGTTGTTGCAGAAATATGGAAAGTTCGTGAATTGAAGCCAGGAATTGGGGAAAACTACTAGAGAGCGTCCAGGCACACGAGAAGAATCGTTGGAACAAAATAGATTGTGTGAGTAAGAACTTTGTTTATTTATTTATTTATTTCCTTATCATCTTTGCTACTTTTGCTGTTTATACTGCGTATACTTTCACTTGATTATATAACAAAAAAGCGTTGGCGTTCTGTCCAGATAAACTTAGTTAATCAATAAGTCTATTACATTTGATACATTGTTCTTTGCAGAAATGTCTGCAAATAATCCATTGACATGAAAATGTATAGCCTTTATTGTAGATAAATCAATAATGAAGAAGTGTTTCGTTGCGTCTTTTCATTTGATACCATCCCCTCAGAGATTTCACACAATTATCGATCTTGTCCTACATTCAATGTATTTATTATTTATCATTTTATTATATCATATTTCAATCTCTTGCCAAGCATTAAAGTTATTTGCTTAATTGTTTAAATATGCGTGTATTAATTAAACGCAAACAATAGTAATATCGATTTGAACTACGACCTCATAGAGTTCGCACAACTTCCAAATTTACGTTATGTAAATTATGCACGAATTGCTCTAATTATTGTAATCATAATTTTGTACACGAAATTTATTTAATAAAAGCATTTAAAATTTAATAAAACGTTCAAAAAGTGTGTTCGTTCTGTACAATTCCAACTTTGTAATAATAGATTCACACTATACATTCGCATAATGATAAAATCAATTCACAATTTGCTACAAAATAAAAGTTATCAACTTCATTGATAAAAGTAATTCCGGTACTAGCAAAAGTTATCGCATTAATTAATTTTATAAATGGACCAGTCCGGATTTGCGGACGCCCGCCCATTCATCGTGAAATTGACCAGGGATGTGGAATAATTGTATCCTTGTTTATGGTAGAAGAAGAAAAAAGATCTTCTTCGATGTCCTTGTCTTTGAAAAATGTTTGACATTTAAATTACATTCTTAACCCCACCCTGACCCATTTTCAAATCTCACGCAGCTTCCTTTTCCAGTTCTCTTAATATGTTATCGGAACGTGCACATACAATCGCATACACGCATATTCTCTTTACACGTTTTGTAATATATTGATTCAATTGCATATGGAATGCAAACATTTCAAATTAATGAAATTATCATTGCAATTATTGAACATTCAAACAAAATTAATTCTCGGAATATTTTAATCAACATTGTAAATATATTTTGGAATCAATACGGAAATTCGTATAATCGTGCAAAAAAAAGGGTAAAATTAATTCTGAAAATCAGAATATTCCATTTCCAATTATGGATTTCTGAAAATAAAAAAGGGAGATTGCGCATTTTAACACGCAATCTGATAAGTTTTCCTTTATATTTTTTTTTGTTATAAAAACAGTAAATATTTTGATTAATCAATTAATAAACTGTTATATAGCAATAATCAAAGGAAAAGAGCAACAAACAGATTGTGAGATTCATTGATTCAATAATTTACCATTAACTTTAAAAGTATTTAATTTTTAAATAAACATTAACATTTTGAGTGCAACATTTATAAATTCAAAATCAAATGTTTTGTCAGTAAATCACCAACATCACATATGTACACTTATCCTACAATTTTTCACAAAAATTTATAATGTTATGTAAGTGAATCTAGATTAAATTTTTCTTGATTCCATTGATCTATTTGACAGATAAAGTTATGGAGAAAATTAGATTTCATTAATATTATTACGAGCATGAAATTAAATAATAAAAATCATGTATTTTAAGTGTAAAATATCGATTTTGATTTTCACTGAAAAAATATTACCATTGTCTAATTGCAGCTAGCATTGAAGCTTATAAGAACATTTTTAAATTCATTTTTTTTTTAAATCTCAAAACCAGACATACAATAGATTTTTACTATTTCTTCCTACTGACATACTATTCTTGTATGATGGATTTGGATATTAAGTAATTGTTAAATCTCCGTCTTACAAAACCTCCGAGATTTTCACTTTGCAAACAAAATTGGGAAGATTAGGGAATTCATCGCCGCAAATGAAACCTCCTTCCGCTATCGCATGTAGTAAATTCCCAAAGGAGTTGGCAACGTTTTCATTACCGAATAACAATGTATATTCAATAATTATCATACTTATTGTTAACATCAGTTAATTCAATTCTTAAATTTCTAAATAAAATTATAATTGTTAGTGATTTTTTTTTGATAAAACTATAGTATACGCAATCTAGTTTTTCAATTATCTCCGGAAACGTAACAGACCTTGAACATAATCTGTACAATAGAAAATAGGTTACATAAGTTCTTTCAGGTATGATATTTGAAATATTAACAATAATTGTGCAAAATACAAAATATAACATAGAACATTTATTGCTAATATGATTAAATAATTTCTAGTAAAAGTATGAAGTTATGTCAATTACTTAACTAATTAAATTGATTATAAAACTGAATTTAATACAATTCTTGTAATATTTTTATTAACTGAAACTAATGAATTTGCAATTTACTGAATTTAAGAGAATTTTTGTAATATTTATTAACGGAAACTAATAATTTTGCAATTTACAGTAAAATGGCACCTTCACTAGTATCGATAATGAAGAGGGAGACTGTAGAAGTAGAAGAGAGTACTCCCGAACCTTCGCCCGAAGTGGAATTGGCCACTCCAGAGGTAGTACCGCAGGAGCCGCTTCAAACTAACATCTTTAATCATACTAAAAAGCAGTGGATGCACTCCACAACTTTAAAACCAACCGTCATAGGTACTGCACTTACATTTGGTTTATAGCAGCGCTTGTTATCACTTCCGTTTATTCGTAGCTAAGTTCAATGAGACGACGACGGACGAACCGAAACCGGATTTAGGGGAAAAAGCGACCAAGATCACCAAAGAGATTGCAAAAGAAATGGGAATTCCCACTTGGGCTTTAGTTAGCATCTTGATAGGTTCCGTACCGCACATATTCTCATCGTATAACAATTATACTAAATTTGTATGTGTGTGTATTATGTTTAGGTGTTGCTGTCATCGTGCTGGGAATATGCTTTTGCTGCATAAGACGATGCTTCAGAAAACGTCGGGCAAAGGATGGCAAGAAAGGCATGAAGGGTGTGGACTTGAAGTCCGTTCAACTCTTAGGTTCTTCGTACAAGGAGAAAGTAATGTATCGATTGCTCGTTTCTAGCAATTAATAGTAATTATTGTATACTATTTAGGTGCAGCCCGATATGGACGAATTGACTGAAAATGCCGAAGAACCGGAGGAAGAGAAACCTGAAGTGCAAAAGCTTGGAAAGCTTCAGTACAAAGTAATTTTTTAAAAGCTTTTAAAAGCGTCCTTCTAATTTAGTTTTCCTGTTAAATGGCAGCTGGAGTACGACTTCAATCAAAACAGCCTTTCAGTGACTGTGATCCAGGCAGAGGAGCTGCCAGCCCTGGACATGGGTGGCACATCGGATCCGTACGTAAAAGTATACCTCTTACCGGACAAGAAAAAGAAGTTCGAAACGAAGGTCCATCGTAAAACCTTGAGTCCCATCTTTAATGAAACATTTGTCTTCAAGGTAATTTATTGTTCTTTGCTATCGCCTCATTTCTCATAATAATTTATCTTTTAGGGCGTTCCATATGCTGATGCAATGAACAAGACACTAGTATTCGCTATCTTCGACTTCGATCGATTCTCAAAACACGACCAAATTGGTGAAGTGAAACTGCCTCTATGCACTGTCGACTTGGCTCAGACTATCGAGGAATGGCGCGAACTACAAAGTGTCGAGGGTGAAGGAGGACAGGTGATATACAGACATAATTATCAATATATTTTCTCTACTTTCTACAATATCTCAAATCACTGCCGAGAATTTCAATATACATTCATAAATTTATCAAATAGTGAAACACAAAACATACATTTAAAACTACTTTACACTATCTACTCTGCTATCTTTTATTTCTTTAAACTTTTTAGTAGAATCAAAAAAAATATGATTTTTAATAGTTCTTTAAATTATCTGTCATTCACTAACTTGACTTCTATCATCGTATTCCTTATAATTACTAATGTAGCTTAATCGGGTTGTGACGAAGAGCTAATTAATTAGAGTATTTCTCCCAAATCAGTCTCAAGCCAATCCCAATCTGCCAAATTACATATAATTCAATAATGATAACTATTCGATAAACTTTTCTCTGGGGTTCTCCAAATGAAGTAATCAAACGAATGGTGATTTAAAGTATCGATATATATATTAAAGTCACTGTTTGATAAATTACTGAATATATGACACCCAGTTCTCACCATATAAAGTCATTTGCACTGTAATTAAATTCCAATACAGCACCTTATTAATTATTATTTAAGAAAATGCTGGTGCTATACTACCTTTAAGGACTAAATTTTCCCATAAATTTAGTATTTTAAATTATTAGAAAGAGTTTGGAGTTTATCTAGTAGATATACACGCATACCAAATCAATGGTTTATTCAAAACTAATTAACTTAATATCAATTTAACGTATTTCAAGTGCTAGGTATGTATATATTGAATAAACCATGAATTGTAGTGTTTTTGTTTTGTTTTGTTGAAATAATTATCTCATATTTTAATTGATATCGTTTTACAAAGATAATCTTACAGTTTTAGGGTTCGTTAATACTTCACACTTGTTTTTTTTTCTTCATTTTGAATTGTTTTACTTTGTTTTTCCTAAGATTACCTTTGTAATAATAATATTAATAATAAGTACAGAAAACCCGATCGAGTTTTTCAGGATGGAACTGGCCGTTAGTATACATGAATATGAATCTGAAAATCAGAAAGGAAAGATAACGTGTCACCATCAAATATAAACTTGTTATATTTGATTACCTTACTGTTAGATTGAGTCGACTTTGAGTAATTGACGTAAATTGTTTTTTTCTCTTTTTCCTAAAAATTCTATGCTCTGCTTTGGTTTGGCTGTGCTATGGTTGTGCCGGCCGCGCATGCATGACGCTTCCAAACAATCAAATCAAAATCACGTAAGTATCGACCGTCATTTTCATATAACATACAAATACTTAATTCGAGGAAAATACTTAACGGAATGCCGGATCAGAGAGATGGCATTGATTTTAAGTGTTTTCCCGTGAATATGACATTAAGGAAACAACGCAGAGACATACGCAAAATTGAATGCTCATCATTAATGTTGAGTTGTTTCCTTAGCATACAATACTTTCAGACTTACTTAAACAAAAAATATTTACATACACACATACACAAAGGTAATATTACTTTATATAAGCCATACAACTACGGCAATGTATTTCTACAAATTCACATAATATTGAAATAGATTACTTTTATTATTTACATTTTTTTTAAACACATTTCGCTCCCAAAAAAAAAATAAAAAAGAAATTATACAAATTATTGAGTTTCGTTAAAATTCGTAGTTTGTTTACTTTGTTTGTAAATATCTTACCTGTTTTCCTGCATTTGCATGGTTTTCCTTTGTTAGCATCAATCTGTTTAAAAATATAACAGTTTTTATATATATATATATGTATATGTATATATATATAAATATTCTGGCTGCAAAACAATACAACAACTATGAAACAACTTATATACTTCCATCACAATGGCATCTAAGAAATTATTATACTTGGGAAACATATTGTTTGTTTGTTTTTCAAATCGAATTTGTTAGTGAGTTGCATGATTATTCCGCACCTTAGTTAGAAATACTACATTTTTGATGTTGTCGTTGATATTTTTCTTTTTCGAACGCACAGTACAACTATTGTTCTTAGTTTTCATCTATTGATTCTTTGTGATTTCAAATATATCTAAAGTACCCGAAGACATCGAAAAGGTATTTGATTACTAATTCTGGTTATTTCAGATGGATAACTTACCCCTCTACGTAGTTCATTTTAGATACAAATTCCTATAATTTTATTATTATTTTACATATTATTTTTTAACTTTCCTGTACTGTGTTTAGATTAAGCTGGTTTGAGCTGGGTGTTTTAGAATTTTGATGGAAAGTTAGTGCGAGAAAAAAATATGTATGTAAAAAAAAGTGAATCCTAAATTTTTTTCAAACTGAACGAAGATTTTGATTTCCGGGACGATATAGTCGTCCGCTTCATAGGCATAACCACGCTAAGTGTTTGTCTCCTAGGTGTTGTGCCCCCGACCCCCTTCAAGCTCAGAATCCTTGAATCGAAAGTATGACCCCTTGCCCTTCTATTTTATGGTCTTCTTACCCTGACCCTCTTTATTAAAAGACCGACACTTCTTCAAGCTTGACCACACTATTCTTTGATTGCGCATGCAAATAGGGTTTCAATTTTACTAAATCTGTGACTGTGTCCGTGTTGTTCACGATTGTTTTTATTTAATTTTATTGCTGAACAAACTGAATATCACCTGTTTTTTTTTATATGTTTGTGATTGTTGTCCTGCCACCCCCGTAATCATATGAGAATATATATATATATTCCTGTGTTTAAGCATCGCAAACAACAGATTACTGTGATTAAGCTCCACGAGTCTGTGTACCGGCTACAGTGCCCTTCATCTTTGATCTATGATATTGCAGGAAAACAAGTTGGGAGATATTTGCTTCTCTTTGCGTTATGTACCGACCGCAGGAAAACTTACCGTCGTTATCTTGGAAGCCAAAAATCTTAAGAAAATGGACGTCGGTGGATTATCTGGTAATATAATAACAACCTCAACATTTGCGCAACATTTTTTTTTTGTTCTAATACATTTTATTTTCGTTAAAGATCCTTACGTGAAGATCGCCCTTATGCAGAATGGAAAACGGCTGAAGAAGAAGAAGACTAGCATCAAGAAGTGCACTCTGAATCCCTATTACAATGAATCATTTACTTTTGAAGTACCATTTGAACAGATACAGGTACAATCTATTTTGCTATTTAAAATGAATTCTATATTTATTATTTCTCATAAATTGAACTACATTTGCTTCTTTTGAAATATAGCAATATAATTTATATTTAAGTTTAATTTAATTAATTTGAATATAAAATAATTATAAAACTTAGAACTATTGAAATTAAGTTATATATATTTTGTATGTTACGGTAGCGTCGAATTCGAAATATTCAATATCAAAAAAAATAAAAAGATCGATTAACAAACAGTTTGGACTAGGGACAAATCGGGTAACGAACACTTTCCCAAAAGATTTTTTATGTTAGTACAACAAACACTTGTTCGGTTAACCCTACTTTTATATTAATATTTTGTTTTCTTTTTTTTAATTTTATAGAAAGTTAACTTGCAAGTAACGGTGGTGGATTACGACAGAATTGGAACGTCTGAACCAATTGGAAAAGTGGTATTAGGATACAACGCTAGTGGAACTGAGTTACGTCATTGGTCTGACATGCTGGCATCTCCGAGACGCCCAATAGCTCAGTGGCATACATTGAAGGATCCCGAGGATGGTGAGAAGAAAGACAAGGATTAAATTGGAACTGTTTGAAAAGAAAAATCTCTTCATTGTTATTTAAAAAATATTATAAGGTAAAGCAAAACACTTCGTGGAATCCAATTATTCGATAAACAATTTATGGATTGTTCTTCGTTTACAGGTTATTGGAGTTATTGGTTAATCGAAACAAACAAAAAAAATGCATGAAAGAAAACAAGTAATCTCTATATTCGTTTAAAAATAATTCTAAAAGTATCTAAAAAAAATATTGGTTATTATGTGTATGATTGTACCATCCTACGATATCGGTATGATATATATATTTTATTAAACTATAAATAAATAATTGGATTTCATTCAGGCTAATTCGATGTAATATTAATAATTATAAAGTTAACACTATTGTTTGTGATGTAGTTACCTTGAACCAAACAAAAAAAAAAGTAATGGAAATGTAAGGCTTGTTAAAATTCTGTGTGTACCCCTGAACGACTTCCAATCCAATTTATTTCGGGCTTATGATATATTTTGTTATTTAAAAAAAAATGTTTATGTAAATATGTGAGAAAAAATCTTTTCTTCCTGATTTGTTATATAGAAGCGCAGACAGGGTTTTACTTTATAATTATTTACCCCAAAAGAAGCCATGCAAAAAGAAAAGAGAAATTAATGAGAAGAAACGAATTCTTTTTATACGATTATAAAAGTAATCATATCTACTTATGTGACTATAAAAAAAAGTATTAGATTGTTAGAGCATAAATGACAATAGTTTATTCATAGGATACGGTTCGTTTAATTAGTAAATTGAATCTTATTATTTTGTGACGAAGCACAAATTGCCCCTTAAACGTTGTTATTCTTTAAGATTGTTTAATCAAATTTCCGAAATGAAAGATAATTTTCTCTTTTATTTCAACCACTCAGTTTTGATATTATCTCCTTCCTTTGTATGTGTATATAACTATAAATACTGTTCAAAGTAATGGAAATGGATGATGTTGTGTATAATGTAGAAAAAAAATGGCGCCCCCCAGTTTATATATTCTCTTCTCCTCCTCCGAAAAAAGAAAATGATGATGAAATACACTAATGGGCCCAATAAGAATGAAATCAGCACTATCAAGAAATTATATAATACTTTCTTACGTTTAGTAGACACATGGAAACTTGTGATTTGTATAATTAGTTTGCGCACCCAGCTTTAAGAGGATGGCAATATAGACGAACTTGTGGCGGAATAGGAATAATGTAAAATGTGTGTAAACTATTTTTCATTTAGTTTCAGTTTATAAACAGCTTATAAACAAATATATATATATATATATTTAGAGAAAAAAGATAGTTCATATATATATATATATAGCACTTTATCTATATATACATATATATATATATAATAAATATAAATAGTTAATTTTTAAATGTTATAAAGAACAATAAGTATGAATAAATATATTATATTGTGAGATTAAATAAAAACGTGGCAAACTTTTGCTCTTGTTATGTAGAAAGTAATAAAAATAATAATCATATCACTTCTCCTGTTAAAAAAAAATGAAAACCCTTTCTCATCTACATTTATTTTACTATAGTTACATTGTTTATCAATTTTATTAAAGCTCATCTTCATTGTAATACCTCCGTTTCAGTGTTCGGTATTTCTTTAACATGTACAAGGCCTCTAACTCTTTTATGATGTATTGTCCGTGGGATATCATCTTCTCGATCTTTTCCGGATCGGTTTCCCCGCGATTCTTCATGAACGCACTGTGCAATCGCTTTCTAAAGTAATCATAGCCATGTGGATAATCTTTTCCTAAATGTAGTAACTGGAACAAGAAAATGTTACATTATAATCATATTATATGTCTATTTATGTAATGTAATAAAAACAAACTGATGATGACGATCGTGTTGCAAATTATTGTTTTCCCATCTTTTTTTTTTTGCGATTAGCTCAAAGGTCCTCCTTTGGTACTACCTTTAAGGTAGTTTAAATTAACAAAAATGTATATATTCTTAAGTAAAATTATATTTTATTACAAAGATAAGAAAACGTTGCTCACAAATTATATAAAGTTATTAGGATTTATTTATATGCAAGTAAATACCTTATTCTTATTATTTATTATTTCTATTTACTTAAAATGTATAGTTAATATTGTTTACTGAAAAGGTGAGCAGAAGCAACAACACTGAATGTGTTTGGATTGGTTCTCAACTCAGAATTTAGATAAATGTATCTATAATAGAGCAGACATAAATTTGTGGTTGACGGCCACTGAGGTGAAAAACTTCGTAACAAATGCATGAGCTTGTTTGAAGTATTATTAGATGATATTTATTACCATTTTATACAATTCTACAACTTTTCCTCTTTGAGACATGGTTTAAAATTCCCGCCTAAACTGTATTATTATGTTCAATGGAGATCGTTGAGCACCACCATATGTTCTACAAAAAAGGTTCCCACAAAAATAACTATTTATTATAAGTATTGTATTACGTACCTCAGTAAACTGTATTTGAAATATTAACGATTAATGTTATTATTAATATTATAGTATTACAATTTAGTAGAAGACGAGGAGCACTTGTATCGTTTAGTGTGTGTCCTTGTCAACTAATTCAATAACGACGTCAAGAATAAACAGATAAGATGCTCTCCAATAATTGTTAAAATAATTTGATTTACTTGATATGTATTAAAATTTTATGCTAATTGTTAAAATCTTTACGTGTATACAAGGTATTCTAGATTATATTTGGCTCCAGAAGTAAACTCTTGATGTTGTGTAATAATTATAATTACATTTATTTGGTAAGATTACTCTTAGCAATTTATGTTTCTTCAATTTCTGTAATCCATGATATAAGTATAGAAGATACACCAATGTTGACTTAGTTATGCAACCACGATATCATTTCTAAATTGCGCATAATATAGCATTAAGCAATTACTTGAAAATATAAGATATTAATTATTTATAAAATGATTTTATAGATAAAATAAATAAAATTATAAAAATTAGCGTATTCAAATTGCAGATCAAAGATGTCTCTAGTAGTCATGAACTGTAAACATGAAAAGTAAGAGGCATGGCCGGCCATATGGGCATGTTGTTCGACAGCTGATCTTTTAGTTCAGTTTCTTCAATGAAACGAAAATAACTCGATGCTTTGCACATAATACGTCTGCTGCTTACTATTAACTGAAGCTAAAATTATATAACTATGGAGGACAAACATGATGGTGTAGCAAAAGTGTTGCAAAGCCCTGCAAAACAGCCTACTCCAGCTGTTCCCGTTCCTGATTGGTCAACACCATCACCAAGCACAGCAAAGACTACAGCACAGGTAATTAAAAGAGAATATGATTTTTTTTTCAATTTTATTGATCATCTCAATTACAGCCAGCAAGTTTGCTGTCCAATGCTTCTATGACTGTTGTTACACCAGGTTCTGCAATAGGAGACCCGAACATACAATTGAATATAAAGTAAGTGTAGTTTAATATTTTCAAATGTTACTTAATTAATTGCATGTATATTTTTAGTAATTGTGTAGCAACTATAGATGTTGGGTGTGAATTGAATTTGATGACCATAAATTTCCGAACTAGAAATTCAGAATACAATCCAGCAAGGTTCAATGCAGTTATTATGAGGATAAGAGATCCAAGGTGTACAGCATTGATTTTTAGGACAGGCAAGATTGTCTGTACTGGATCAAGAACGGAAGCTGATTCATTCCTGGCTTGCAAAAAATTTGCAAGGATTTTGCAGAAGTTGAACTTCAAAGTAATATTGTGTTTAAAAATTATAGACCATGTATTTATATTAAAAATATTTTTTTAGGTGAAATTTACAAATTTTAAGATACACAATTTATTAGCTACATGTGATTTACGATTCCCCATTAAATTGGAGAATTTGCATCAGTTGCATGGACAATTCTGCAGGTATTTTCTAATTTATACATTATTTTATATACATTTTATTGAGTACATATTTTTTTTTTAGTTATGAACCAGAATTATTTCCAGGATTGATTTATAGGATAGTTAAGCCAAGACTTGTAATTGTTATTTTTGTTAATGGAAAGTTGTGCTTCACTGGAGCAAAGAGTAGGAATGATATTAAGGAAGCTTTGGAAAATATTTATCCAATTTTAAAGAGTTTCAGGAAGAACTGATATTGTTATGTTTTTTTTTATTATTATTATTACATTTATAATCATTAATTTATATCTTTCATTTTTATTCGTATGATTTCAATAAATATTTGATATATTTATACAACTAATTAAATTGCTTTCATTTGTTCACATTTAGACATACTTTGTATAATAGTACAATTCGATAAGCAATATACTCTTGTGATAATAAAATTGAACACTGCTATTCAGTAATTTAGTTACATTATAACATGATTATGAAATAGAGCGTAAATATTTACACTGTAGATTGCTATGTAAGAAAATAGTCGTTAAGAAATTTATAAGACTGTATATAAAAAAAAATATGCAACAAACAATGGTTAAGATTTTAATTTTGGAAGATTTTAACTCTACAGTCTGCCTTAGGATGATGTTTATACAATTACATAATAATTTACTTTTATTAAAGGAAACACAAATTATCCATTGCACTAATTATAAGGACTATCGACCTTTTTCTTTTAATTTACTTGAGAATTGACAATTTTAGAAAAATTGTATGTATGTATATTATTAATTAATTTCTATTTGTATTGATATTTTATTTTCGCTAAGTCATTTGTCAAAATATCCATGTTACAGAATATCAATTTTTGGTGAACAACTTGTATATTCGCAATTTAGATACATTAGAATTAGTCTATTACTTATAACATAGCTTTTATGGCAATTCACAGTTTAATTTCTTTTGCTGTTATAATAACCAACTTTATCTTTTTTTGTTTATGTTATTTTAAAACTTGCATATTCATTTATTCGTTAAGTTATAAGATCATTGTAAATTACTTATGTTAATAATATAATATTTACGTTTACATAACTAAATTAATTTTATACTAGGATTACATCATGTCCGAGATTTCGTCAATGTGCGTAGCATCTTACACCACACGTCCTCTCTAATATATATATATATTCAGTATGTTGCTGTTACTTATTGATTGTGAATTATCAGCTCTTGTTCATTCACATAATCTAAATGTAAATTGTCCTGACGTCAAGCGTCCGCGTCTCGACGTACTTGTTGGCGTGGATACATATTTATACATGTATTTTCCATGTAAACCAAAACCTCAAACAATATTCCTATATTATCAAATGACGCACTTTGGTTTTATTTCATCGATCGATCTCAATCGTGTTTTTTTTTTAATTTCGTGTGCTAAAGAAGCAGTATATTTATGGATGTATGAATACAGGAAATAATACACGATATCTATTTTAACGGAGAAGTGTAATCCTTATTATTTCAGTTGAATTGCGAGTGGAATTAGGCAAAGTATATAATAATTAATAAGAATAATATTTATTGAAACAATAAAAAATATTTATATAATTATAACTAAATAAATATTCCGCCTGCAAAAGATAATATGTAGGTAATATGTAGTCTTCTGTGGGGAAGAGACGCCGGCATCTTTCCTTAATGACGGACGACAACAACTTTGGATTCATGTTAATAAGTATTCTTGAATTCGAATTCAAATATTTTTTTGTGGATAAGTTCTCATTAAATATTTGTTTGTTATAGAACGAATCACGACTGACTTATACATTCAAACAATATTTATTGGCCAAACTCTCATCGTAGACTCGGCAACACGCAGCTTTTGTTGGTTACTAACAATTAATTCTGCTTGTTCTATCGTTCGGGTCGACCCACAAACCAATCGACAAATGGGCACGAAAATTGGGAAATTATCAAGAAATACTGATAAGAAGACACTGAAATATCATTGAATATATGTTATTGTTTTCAGGATAGCAACTTTATTTCCTGTTAATTTTCCTTGGATAAAAGCTTCGTCTAGTATTGTCAAAGTATTGTACACCGATAAATATCTCAGCGAATATATTTGCAGCTGCAGCAGCGTCATTCGTAAATAAATCAAGTTTAACCTAGTTTATTTTCTGGAATCGGTGATATCGATTAATGGTGCTCTCCTGTTGGTATACGCTCTGGGGCTTCAGTTTAGTTCGTCGACCCCTAAACGTTTTCCGTGTTGCACAAGTTGCATCCTTGTGACCTACATTTCAAAAAGCTCTATCGACTATTAGCCTTAGAGCAGGTGTAAAGACCCCAATACTAACTGGGTCAATTATATATGTTTACCCTTTCCTAAGCTTTATACAGTTTATAATGCCTATCACTAAAACGATTATTATTATTACTCTGTTGTAGAATATTAACAATTTGAATTAAACTTTCCATGTTTAATTCACTTTTATTTATTCTTGTTGAAAACTTATTTAAAAATAAATATTTCTTATTGAAATGATGAGATTGTGATAATTGAATAATTTAGTTATATAAAAAAATATCTAATATGCGATTGGCTTCTTTATAATTATATGTAGAAGTACCAGCTATAGTTTTTAAAACGCATTTAAAGTTTGTTTGTTTGTTTTTTTTGTTTTTAAATATAGAAATTATAAATTCCAATATTCCAATAGAAATTATGTTTGGTAACCACTGACCTAGGCTGTTCAACATTCGGGATCTATTACATTTTTAATTAAGTGAAAAAGTGATTTTAAATCAATATATTATTTATGATTATTATGAATATTATATTCTCGAACAATACATAAAATATAATATTGATATGATTATTATTGGACAAAGTGCAAGTAAACCACACCCAAAAACTCCGGTAATCAATTATAATATTTAAAATAAAATATGTTTTCCTACTATAAAATGATCTAATGAATTACTTTGATTAGTTTAACAGAAAGGAAATTGAATTCAACTAAAGAGAAAATCTCAAATAAACTGATGATTGCTCTGCTAGTAATTGTGTTTTGTAGCAAACATATTTAGGTCCGTTGGTAGATTGTGACCCTTGACATTTTCCCAGCCGCAGTGCCCTTTAGATGAACTCTACTCTCCTCTCCCAGTTAGATCTACCTGTGTAATTTGCAAACAACGCAATTGTTTGCTTTATATTATTTCACATATTACAATAATAAATTGAATAAATAATATACACATTGAATTTCTGCGTGTAATGCTGTTGTTCTACAATATTTTATTGCATGTTACACAAGGCCTTTATGATTGCGTGGGTCACGTTTTAAAAAATGTATTGTGCAAGATAATCAATATTTTGTTTAACCCACGCGAGTGGGGTTTGCGAGATTTAGTTTGGTGCATAAAGCAATTTTCGTAGCACGTAATAATTTAGATACTTCAAAATGGCTTCCCTTATCTCACAAAATCAATGGTGACCAGATTGTGTTATTCAAGAATGTTTCCAACATCTTACGTAAAGTTTATATACACTCATATGTTTATTTAATTGACAATTTATTTTATTTTTTTAAATTTTTACTAATTCATGTAATAACAAATGGATTGACAATTTACAAATATTTCTAATGATTAATCTACGAACTGTCAATTATTTGATATGCATGATGAGTCTCTAAAAAGTGCGATGAAGATACGTAAGATAGAAAATAAATCATCATTTGTAAATCATAAGTTAAATGTATAATCATTACGATTAATTAGAATAAAGATTGATGTAATCGTATTATCTAAATTAGTATACTTACATATTTGTAGATCGGTATATTTAGAAATAGTTTTGATAGGGATATTGTAAAATAGAAATAAAGCAAATTTAATTGATCTCACATTTATTTATCAGTCATATATAGTTTAACATTATATACACATATAATTAAGTATAATAATAATAGTATATATGTAATAGCATTAATGACATTCCGAATGCGTACGTTCTCGCGCTAGAAGGAATGTTACAAGTTAAAGTTTTTCAGCCTAAGTCCTACAATATATCAAAATATAGTTATATACATTTGGTATAAAATTAAGGGGATATGTACATTGTTTAAAGTGGGCATCGAACGGATCATAACATAGTTAAACAATAAGGAAGAGGAGGAGATACACGTGACAAGCAATGTATATAATATTATGTATATATATATATAATGTAATAAGTTAATTTCTTAGTTTCATGTTGTTGCTTTTTTTTTTCACTTAATAGTTTTAATGTCTTCCTAAGGTACTGAGTTTTCATTTCATTTCTAGTATAATGGACGATAATAATGATCTAATGTTAAACGAATATTCAGATAGATAATGTACTTTTTCTTTTAGGAAAATATATGTCTTCAATTCGTCTATATCAAAAATAATGAAGGCGGCTCTATCAAGAAAATAACGACTCTATAAGCTGAAAATAGATTTTTCAATTTCAAGCTTTCATTTCAAGTTTTGCTGTAGTCATTTTCACATCAGTTTAATAACTAAGAAATATTGAAGAGAAAGCACTAGAAAATATCCGAACGCATTCTCATTTTTTGTTTTGTTTTGTCCACCTTAAGTAGCTTATTTTAAATATATTTATTGAAAAAATAAATAAAAATGAAGCGCATTGAATGGAAGAGCGTCAGTTGAATACCTTCACTACACACTTCCCCGTATTAACAACAGCAACATTACTCCATCTCGTTTTTGTTTTGTTTGTTTTTTTATTTATTTTGTACTTTCCCAGTGCAGCTCCTTGATACAAAACACAAATACTCTCGTTTCTCTCAAATCACGACGGGGATTCTTTCAACATTCATGACAAAAACAGAAATATGTTTTATTTTCATGTTCATTTCGATTTGTTTTCTTCAATGAAAAAAAAAAGTGACGACGGCGATTTACAATTCAATTTGATTTATAAATTCAGATCGCTACTCGTGTCGTTATTTTTTCTTGTTTAGATCATGTTTTTCGAATGAAACAAACTACTTGGGCGCAGTCCTTCGTTTCTCTGTATCACAGATGTAATGTCTGCAATCTTTAAAAATATGAAGTATTGAAGAGATATGCAACATCTACCGTGACAGATCAACTAGAAATTCACGTAAATTGTTACATGTACTTGATCTGTTAAGGTAGGCGCTATCAGAAACCTCGTAACTCTAAACATTAAAAACATCGATCTATAGGGGAAAAGAACCTCAACTACCTCACGAAAGCGAAGCAAATTTATAATAAATATTTTATTATATTCGTAATTATATATTTTTTTTTGTAATTGTGTAACAAAATTGACATTAGATTGACTAACCATAAGATGCTCATTATAAATTTTCAACGCCTTCATTTACATTATGTTAATATGTTATTTTTTCTTCTTCTATATAAATATGTTTCCTTTAGTATATATATTTTAATAAATTAAGTCTCGTCCACGTGTCTGATTCCCTTATATACAACAGGCATCATCATCTGGTTCCATCCGCTCTTTTTCATGGATAGTTCCAGACGGCACTGACGAAAATACAATTCAAATAACAAAGAAGTGACGACGCGTTCTTCCTAATACGTGGTGCAATACAGAAGAAATTGCTAATACTATATTTATATATCAATCAGTCTTAAAATCAATGACATAGAGCTCTAGGTAATCTTCCGGAAAGGGATGATTTTTTTTTGTGTGTTAAATGTTATGTTCTTCAGCCGCTAATAACTTACTTCTGCTTTTTGAGTACAGACAACTGATGAGTCAAGCTGTCCTCGCTGGAGATGATGCGTTTACGCATCGTCGGCTTCACGTCCTCCGCCTGCAACAGAAAAAAGAAAAACAAACATATAATTTACAAATAACTGCGCCTCATAACCTACCCCAACATTCCTGGCAGCGCTCCAACAGCTGACACTATCTTTAGAGCGTTGAGCGTCCATGAATGGGGAAAACGATTTGTGGGATGGGCGCGAAATAAATGAATGACAAATATGAACATGCGTTCAACCGAAATATCCCCCATCCATTCATGATTTATTGATGATCATTATGATTGTGATGTAAAGGATCGTATCGATCGGGGTGTGTGATACTTACTTCGAGGGTCTTCTCCATATCCAACATATGCTTGATGGTGTCGTATACGGAAGGAGTTCTCTGACGGTCCTTCTTGTTCGACTTCATCATATTGTTTATGGATTTGGTGAATGCGTGTTTGATGGGAGTCGCCGGTCTCAAAAGGACCTCTTCTTTTTGTCCTCTTGCGTCACGCTTGGGGGGAGCGAACGTCGTAGTGCTGCTGGTCGATTCCGTTGACGTCATAACGCCCTTGCGATCGGTGAATGGTACATTGCCGAAGTTTCTCTTATCGTTGTGTTTACGTTGTTTCTTGTTGCCTCTCTGGAACCAACGCTGCCTCTCCTCTGCCAATTTATCCTCGCGATAAGGTTTCGCTAATTGCTTCAGCTCCTCGACTTCTTCATCTTCCCTGTTATTGTTGTTGTTGTTGGGCGGATACTCGTCCAACTTTCCGTATACTTCATCGTCGTTGTTGTAATTTCTGTTGTAATCTGATGAGTCTTTGTAATTTCTGTTGTAATCTAACGAGTCTTTGTACATCTGCGACATGATCAGACTCTGCAGGAATGCGGCGTTGACGTCGTTGTAGTTGCTGGTGTCGTCATTCTCGTAATACATTTCGTGCCCAATGGGTTGAGCGTCCTCGCGCTGTTCTCTTTCGTTTTCTTGGATCATCTCCTCCTCCAAATCGTCAACAGGATTAACGGCATCGTCGTAACCATAATAGAATCCGGATCTCATCAAGGGCCTATCGTAATAGTACGGCAGTACGGCTTGATAAACTTCGTATTTCGATGTTCTCGGATAGTAGACCGGGTACGAAGAATAAGATTCATGAGGATAATAGTAATCGTCGTAGTTCTGGTTGTATGGGTATAGGTCATAGTAGTTCATTGGGTATCTTTGAGATGGTAGCATTTGTTGGTAATGCTGAGCTTGAGCAGGTTGACCTGTTGAAGTCCATGAATTGCGTTGTGAGGGTGCACGGCCGTAGCGTTTCGTACCGTATATCGTTGGATAAGCGTCGCAAAGCACGCAGATTATCATTAATACTTGAATTGCTTGCAGAACCTTCAAAGCCATCTGAAATTACAAAGAATACCTTTGTTGTGTCTCTGTGTTTGCCAGTCTTTTGATAATGGGTACAGTTCCCTTTTTTAAATATGGTCTAACGGATTAAGGTTGTGCGCGCTTTCCAAAGCCCTTTGATAAATGGATTGTAAAATTGCCGCGCGACCTACTTTCTCTCAACAGGTTGATTTTATCTTTATTCGTTGAATTTAACAATTCAATATAATTCAAGATAAATATAATTAAAACTATATGAAAAATTTATATTCATTGTATATTGTTATTGCATCTTTGGAAATTATAAATTTAAATATTGGTTTTGATATTATTAAATTTAAAAATCGAATATCTTAATCAGCACAATTTATTACCATATTGTTTTCTTACCATATTGTTTAGTAATTTGTCTCGGGGATTTCACTTCCGAAAGTTGTTCACCAGCGTTCTTAGTTGTTTCGCACAAGACGTAAAAATGAAAATGTGCCCCCAACAGTTATGACCCATATATATAGGTACGAAACAGCCGCCCCCACTCCGATCTGCCCACACGTTATCAATGAACGTTGTAGTGTGGGTGCGGGGGCGTGAGGGGCGGTAGCGGCGCGTATACGAAACTGCGACAACGGCGATCATTGGTTGGTCCGAAACGAGTCCGCAGAAATTCAATTGGAGACGATCGTATTGATCGTTGAGCAGCGTCGCGACGCCGGCGCAGACGACGCCGCTCCACATACATTTCCTGCCTGGAAATAGCCCAAATTATGTGTGGATATGTTTGTCTCTCTCCTTTCTAAGAGCCCGTGCTCTCCACAGCTCGTTGCCGCCACCGTCATCGCCGCCTCCGCCTCCCACGCTCCACAGTTTCATTCATAAGTTTATAGGATTCTCAACCCTTCCAGCATTGATTCTTTTATTGAAATTGATTCGTGTTTGTAATACGCAAAACACACCTCTCTTCGGCCTGCCATCCACCCAACATACATATTTCATCAAGAAACAGTTATTAAAACAATGTACATTATTCTTTTATTCGAGGAATATTTGAAGAAAATACGTAGAATAGAGTTTGATGACCACTGACCTAGACCAATCATGTCTAATGAACGATAATCACAGAACTGAATTGATCACCCAAAAATACCTGATGTTCGTTCAAATTGTTTTATTATATTGCATTTAATAAACGATATGGATCACCCTTTCCAATAGTATTCTCACTATACATTACATAACTATTTAAACTAGTAGAAAAACAAATGTTTATAATTTACTTTGTATCATTGAACAATAAACATTTATAATTAATTTAACTGTGCTGATTTAGTAATTTATAAAATTAAAACGATATAGTTATTATATATAGTTATAGTTATAGTTAATAACTATATCGTTTTAATTTTATAAATTATGATTAGAAAGTAATTAGAATAGTTATTTATATGTATGATTTTGAATTACATGATCGCTTTTCAACATCCATCGTGGACAGGCAACGTCGAGTGGTAATGGAATAATCTATATTCATTAAATTATGTATACAAGTTATCCCAACTTCTATAAATAGCTTAAAATATTCAGTCAAAAATGTCGCATCTAATTCTGAGTTTTCCGACGAGAGAAGGTTACCGTTTACGTAAGCCGGAGTAACCTTGTCTGTAATTGGACGCTCTGGAAGTACACAAACAAGAAACACATTTATATTGAGACGCAATCAACTTCGACCAGTATTTACTCCAGGCGGCTCCACCAAACTTTCCTTTAATTACTCACGAATATAAATAGCGATAGAAGTGATAGTTAATTACTATATACAAATATTTGTTTTTTTTTTTGTTATTGATTATGTCTGTTCAGAAAAAAAAAAAACTTGTTGACTGTTATGGAAAGTCCACATTTTTTAATAACAAAGGCCTTTAAGCCATTTCTGAAGGCGAATATTTTAAAGAACTGCTTATGAACGTAACGTTATTTATAATAGATTAAAATGTATTTTGTAATTATGATACAACACATGATTTTAGAAACATTTTTTTTATTGTTGTATAAAGGCCATTTAGTATTAATTATATTTGCTTGCATTTTTATTTAATTATTTTGTGAAATACATTATTTGTCCATCCTTTAATTTGTATGTTTGGAAATATTCCGTATGTTTTTATGCACGATGTGAAATATAATGGAGCTTAGTAATATAATGGTGGTTTTACATTGAATTTCATTTATTAATACAAGCAATTAAAGTGGTTTTGTTTTCATCAGAATTCAATTTATGAAATGCACACGTTTAAATAATAGCAATGCTTAACGTTTATACGTGTAGGTAAACAAGTAAATTCAATTAAATTTTCCTATGGAAAACTTTTATATAGTATTTAAATCCCTGAGTTCATTAAATATTTATTCACAAATAATAAAAATATGAACTGGATAAAATTTTACTGATTGATCTACTTTTAGTTGACAAATAACTTGTTTTAATCGAGAGACAAAATACCAAATTATAGTCAGTTAAGATGCTTCAAATCCAAAAAAAATAATTTTAAAAGAAATTAATTTAAATCAGTGTTAAATCACAACAATCAACAGTTTTTAAACATAGTTTCAACTCATAATATTCTAATCATAATTAAACTTACAAACAAACTTAGATATGAAATATTGATTCAATATTTTATTAAAGTTAACAGAAAGTATATATTAATAATCATAAATTATATAATAGCTATAACAAAAATATTGTTTAAAAAATCTAGAAACTCATGAAGAGCGGTAGTTACTACGTAATAGTTATTATAAATAAATGTTTATTGCATCAGTCGTACAAAAAAAAACATATAGAGAAATAAAAAGAACAAAATAAATATATATAATTTCAAAAAAGTTAACTGATACAAAAGGTTTATATGAATTAAATTTCTCGTCGAAAACATTGATGTTTACATCATGTATTTTTCGCATATGCATGTTCCTATGACAGTGTTTCTTTATCATTATTACGTTACATTCCGAGAATCGAGTTTCAGCGAAGAGGCATATAAATAATAAATGTAGATTGACGGAAAATGCGCGCCATCACGCCCGTAATGGTTCGTCAGAACTTGAATTCCCAACTGTATTCAACGTATATAAATTGCCACCATCGCAATAATTGGAAAAAATCATCAATGATGTGAGAAAAGAGCAAATATTCGAGATTACTTTTTAATTGCAATTATTTATGAAAATCGGCTGAAAGGGTTAACAAATATTGAATAATAAATATTTATACGTTCAACTGAGCAATTTATCTTTCAATATTTCTTAAGAAAATGCAAGTATTATATGATTTCCTTTAACAAATATAAACTTTTATTAAAACATAACGAAAACAATAACACGATATGAAAATTTAAATGTACGAGGGATAAGTTCTCAAAAGTTGCGAAACTCAACGCAAACATTTCAAAGCAACAAAGGATTACTGTTTCTGAATCCCTTGAAACTTTTATATACAAAATCTAAATGTTTTTATACCTTCATAAGTTTACATGTAATATTTAAATCATATTTAAAACGTGGACACGTAGCATAGTTTAAAAAGTCTATATCAAAGGAAGTAATAACGTAACAAGAAATCGTTTCTCAATACCGCTTATAAATTGAATAACCTACCTGAATTGCATTTATAGTCTTTTAGAAACAGACATATGGTTACGATATAAATAACAGAAAACTGCTTTCAATTGTTTCACAAAGAAATAACGATGCAATCAAATTAAATAAAAAAAAAGCTTTAATAGAAATGTATTGTGTCTCAAGAGTCGAAATGAAAGGAGAAACGATCTAATTAATCAACGAAAATACGCCTCATGCAGACGACGAACAACATAATCGGATTTTACTTTATTTCAATATTTATCAGAGCTTCACGAAAACGAAAGCAAAATTCCCGCGTGACGAACAGCAATAACAATTAGTTTTATGCACTTTACGCTTAAACTATGCATATTTAAATATAATACAAAAACGATTATTTTTATCATAGACGTAATTGAAATTTGTTTACGTTGTGAAATATTCGAGTTAATTAGTTAGGGGGCGATTATGCCTGTTCGTGTCTCATGACTAAAATATGAGGAAATGTAGTAAGGATTACCGCGTTGCTAGTAGTAAACATTGAAGAATTTATATGCACAGATTTCCAGTTGAATTCAAATGAAATTGGCTTGCTGCCATTTGATTCGTTTCCAAAATGCTGGAGCAATGCACTTGCAACTGCTTCTAAGGTTTTGTTTCTTTTAGTAGTAATTAATACTGCTGATATTGCGTATATGTTATAATTCATAAATTTCTATTTAAATATTGCGTCTTATACAATTTGATGAATTTAATGTATTAGATAATTATAATAAATAGCAATTATTCATATAGATTAAAGAATAGGTTGCGTTCTACGAAATTAGTTCGTTAAGCTTTCTTCTTTGTCTTTGCTGGTTTTTTAAATCTTCCACTAAAAAATAAAACATCATCCTGATATTCAATATAATTAATGAGAGTTTCATAATATTGAATTGAGTTCAAATATTAGAATTATATAATAAAGGCTGGATTGCTATTGAAAATAATTTCTCAATTGGAGACGTAATCTTTACTGCAGTTCTTATATTAAATGAATGAACACTGTGATTATTATTATTACACTCGAGGTTATACTTTACGCGCATATTGTTATGTGATAAATAAACTTTAATAAATCCTTAACGGATATATTTTGAGTGTGTGTGTATCGATTTAAAAAAAATGCGACTATTTTGATATTTTGAAAAGCTCCAGCATCTCTCATAAATATGTACTGTGGTGGGTCGTTTTGTATGTTATGCTGTGCACCATGAAGTGCGAAGAAGACGATGTAGAAGAGGCCGGATGAAATGTGGTCTCAGTCCTAGACACAGCTGACGCCCCCGCATTCCCGGGCTCTCTGCTCTCGGTGCTGCAGATAAATGTCAGGACCGCACTTAATTTTAGATTACATTTCAGAAATTTATGAAATCTTTCATCGTGAAATTTATAACAAGGTGCGGAATCTTTAGGGCATTCATATGTTGTATAATTCAATATTATTAATAACGTGCATACATTTAGGTTTAGTGAACACTCACGAATCGTATTTCGTGTTTATAATTTACAATGTTGAGATTTCGGTTGAGATTTTTTTATTGTAAAAAATGATTTTTTTTCTCTCTATAATTTCTAATTCGGACATATTTCCTTCATTGATTATTTATTATTTAAGACATTCTGTCAAATAAATTATAGACAATTAGATTGATAAAGAAAAAATTACATGTGTCGCAAAATACAGCAGAAATTTTAACGATTGTGTTTTATTTGAAACTAATGAAATTTGGTCGTTAAACCTCGCCAATAGGTCGTTAAATACATTGCAAAAATAAATCTACATGAAAAAGTTGAGTTTTATTATACAAAGTAACCATACATTTCTTAATCATTGACTTAGTAAACGTTTATATAAATGATGTAAATATTATTTACCAGAGGTAGGAGATTTAATTTAGAATAAATACTAATATGTGTATACATATCAAGTTCAGATTTATTTGTACTGCATCACCTACGACCTCTATTGGATATATATGGATCTTATTGATAATAAACCATTGTGCAACTGCAAACATCCTAATTCATTTACATTGAATTACTTCGATTCATTGCCTTGATTTTCTTGATCAATAAGTGACCACGATTACAACCGGCGACGCTGCAAATAAAAGTTTTGTAGAGAAAAAGCAAAGTTTTAAAAATTATGATCCGGTGAAGGAATTTTCTGCATTTTCTCCATGTATTATAAAACACTAATATATTTAATGTCAAATATATGTACCTATTAATTATCACTTAAACAGACAACTTTCTTAATTAAAGCAAAATTTTGTTGGAATTAGAAATGACGTAAAATCTTACTATTTTTCTGCTGGCATATGTAGATTTGCATTTATGTATGGACAAATTGTCTAATATTATTCAATGAGATGAATGAGATAAAATGCATGCCATCTATTCATGTATTTCGTGTTTATTCCTGTGCGCATTTAGTGGCAATAGCTGCGAGGATATGCACATATATCGAAAGTTGTTTTTGATCGCAAGGAGAGTTGGGCTCCGGGATGTCGCGCCTGGATGTGGTGAGTACGAATGGAGGAGCGCATCTAGCTAGCAACGAAGGAGGGGTTGGCAATTTTATTTTTAGAATCCTTCGCACAGCAATATTTATGTCCTTCCAGACAATTGTCTCCGAGTCACGCACAATTGGCGAGACATTACGCAACAATTATCACCGGCATGCCAATGGACAATACGGCGCTTAATTGGATGTGACCATAACAGCTGTGTTTATTACGACAGCAGAGTTATATAAAACAACGAGTCACATCAGTTCGTCAAAAAAATCTAAATGTTTGGGTGTTATTCAGACAGCAGGACATTGATGTGTATAGGATTTTATTTTCTCTCTCTCTCTCTCTCTCTCTCTCTCTCTTTCACTGGTTCCTCTCTATGTAGATATATTTATCCGGGCCTTGTGAATGAAATTCGGCAAGGGTCGTTGATGCTAAAAATAGATCCTGCAGTCGAGAGGGTGGCCATAGAGAGAGAGAGAGAAAGAAAGAGAGAGATGGTTGCATTGAGGCGGCGTAGGTTGTGGCGGCTGCTGAAGAAGCGGGAGTGGTAAAGGGATGTTTTGTAGAGGGGGGTTCGAATTTCGATCGGCCGTACCCACGCTCGAAAGCGTCACATCAACACCCACGCGCTGGCAGAAGCTGCTGCTGCTGCTGTTGCTGCATACGGGGAGAGTTCACGGTTTCTAAAAATTCACCCACTCATTCTTCATTAAAGATGAAATACGCCGCCTGAATTTGTTATTCCGTTGATGTTTTTAATTAAAATTCCAATGTTTTCTTCTTTACCAATTTTGTTTTGCTAATTACACCGAATTAGCAAAACAAAATTAGCAGCGTTCCCGAATTAACGTTGACTCAACCGCAACAAAAACACGTAAAGCAATTACGTAAATATAGATATATATATATATATATACTACCTACTTCAGTTGCATCAATATATGCAATTCTACACAAAATAATAAGATTTAAAAAAATGTATAACATGCAGTGTAAGTAATAATTAAAATTGTATAATTAATAGAAAAATATTTACAGAAATACAAGATAAAAAGTTACCAAATTCATAATAAACATATCAATGTTCTCTATCCTATCCAGTGGGGTAGCGAAAAGAAAACACTTATAAATAAGTTTACCCGACGCATCCACCATTACATATAGGTACGATCGTAATTATATTACCCATTGTGGTTACGAAAACGCCCGATCTACAATACGATTTTTCAGTAGTCTTCTTAATTTTTGGACCATGGTTTTTCAAAATAAAAAGCACGAAAAATTTACTGGAATTACAATTTTTATCCTGGTATAAAAGATACGTCAATTATTCAACTTCTTCATGTTCTGCTTTTTTTTTGATATTCTTTCTCTATGCTATACTAAAATGTATACCGAAGATCAATAAATTCTATTATTGGACAATAATAATAATAAATAACCTGTTTTAGAGACAATATAAAGGATCTTAAAATTTAGTTTTCATCGTTTTATTCACGTTTTTATTATGACAACGGATATTTTATATATTATCTTTTTACTGACGGATGCTCGTAGTTTCAGAATCATACATGATTTATTTATAGATACTTCATTGAATGAATTTTCAAAGTCAAATTTCATCTTTATTTGAATTTTAGTTTAATGGTTTGTATTCAGATAACTGATATTATGGTTAATTAAAAAAAACTCTAATTCAACGCATAGCATAAAAAAAACGTTTGCTTACTACTATACGTAACTTATATTGTTTTTTTGAGATTACAAGAAATTAAATGACGACAATTATAATTAAAACTTAATACTATTATGATCATTTATTTTCAGTCAATGTGCATCCAAGTTTTACCTATTCCCATTAAATTCTATTTTCATACAACCAGCAGTAATTTCCGAACAATTAATGTGAAAATCAATTTCCAATATTAAACCAGGGCGTGTTACTGAAATGCAATCACCATTTTCACAGCCATTACCTAATATCTACGAATCTACACGAATCATAATTATATTATAAATCAAAATTTTATTAATTGTCAAGATCACACAATTCTATAAATGTTTTGAATATTATTTAGTAAGCAGTACAATAAAGAAAGAATAGTCAAATTGATACGTTGTTTTTTTTATAAACTTTTGTATAAACATTTAGATTTGAGCTCAATTTACATAAAATCAAATTAAAATCGAGAGAGCTGTGTAATTACCCAAGCGTATATTGCCTTTTTGTAAGCTTAGTTATGCAACCAGTTTCACGCACACGTGAATATATATATGTTTGTATAATTCGTATATTTATTTCGTTCTTTTTATTTCTGTTTATGTTTTGCTTTTGTTATACGACTGATGCAATAAATATTATTATAATTTTTGTGGGAGCCGATAAAACCGAAAAGGAGTAGGGCCAAAGAGATTTAGATCAATAATAAATTGTTATAAATCTCTTTAAAATTTAAAAAAAAAATTATTTGAGCATCATAAATTAATTTATATGTTCTATTTAAAATTTAGAATAGAATTTATAATTATAATTTTTTAGACAAAAATATAAAAAAAAAATACTTGAAAGAAGAAAACAAATCTAGTTATAATTATATAACAAAATAATTATATAAAATAATTCGATATAACTTAAAGCTCAAGTAAAATATTTCGATAAATATAAGCGTATGTACGTGTCGTATAGTATTTAAAAATTAACAAATCTTGCGTACGCTTAGGAACCACGTGGTCGAAATTAATATGAACAAATATCCTATCAACTGGCGATACTTAAAATTATTGATTAATATTGAAAATCCTGCTTTTTATATTTTGCTTATCTGTTTTTCCAGTTTCCACGATTTTATACATACTTATCTGTTTTGGTCTTTGGTCCACTCCTCGACCCGAGGTAAACAAGTCTTCAGTAACTTTCTACAGTACGATGAGTTGATATAATCTGGATTTTCCTGACTATTCATTCGCCTTCATTACTTTAAATTTATAATTACTTATTTCTTCGAAAATCGGAAGATATACCACGTCCTTAAAGCTGATGATCTTGACGAAATAGTTATGAATAGAAAAAAAAACATTTAGTTTAAAAATTAAGGTCATTGCGTTTATTAGCACAAATTTGACTTCTTTTATTATATAGTTTGTTAGTTATTTTGTCGTAATAATTTATTTTATTAATTCTTAAAGTAGGCCTTTTAAATTACATACCATTCTAACTAACTAAAATACTTATCTACAAAATGTATAAAAACTAACATCTGCTTCTAACATGAGTTTCATTAAATGTATGTTTCACTTTTATGTAAGAGATCGTGTAATGTTTCGTCATTTAAACTTATGATGCCAATCTACTTCTCACCGAATCTAATATCAATCCTAGGAAATGATGTTGTTGTAGTTGTTGTTACAGGTGTCGTTGGAATTTGGGTAGTACTTTTTGTTGTTGCCATTTGAGTTGTCGTTGGAATTGGTGTGGTTGTTGTTGTTGTCGTTGATGATGGTTTTATAATTCTTTGATTTGTTGTTGGCACTCTCGCCGTTGTTTGATCATTTTCGGGGCTATTATCGTAATCGGAATAATCCGAATCTTCACTATTGCTGCAATCTTCGTTATCATGATTATGATGATAGCGTTGGTGATTATGGTGGCCATTATTGTGAAAACGGTGTGGAAACCTGCCATGGTGATTAAACCTGCCATGGTCATGAAAATCATTAAAATGTCCATTTCTATGTCCAGGGAAGATAGGAAAAGCGGAGTAAGGATTATGGTAAAAATGTGGACCATCATCAAACCTTTGCCACGATGGACTTCTTTTTTCTTTGTGATGATAGTGAGCATGCATCTTCTTCAAGCTTCCTGATCCTTTCCCAGTATCGAAAATTGCTGAAATAAACAAGAAATTTTATTATTATAAATTAATTTTCTACTTTTTTTTTTGGTACTAATTAAATATAAACTATTGATGTGTGTGTTAATATGTTACGGTTAAATGCATTCCAAAGCATTTTTCGATGCGTAAGCAATTAAATCGCATTTGATACGGAAACTATTTTTGTTTATAGAAAGTTGAACAGACGTTCCACAAAAAATATTATAAGTTTTAATTATTTTTGACATTGAAATAAAAACACCTCGTCGAGACATAAGAGTAATTTAAGTAATAATATGACCTTTAATTAAATTTCGCACAAATAATACGAATGAAAACTCGTTGTTTATTACTGAATGTAAATATTTTCTGGTTTGGTGCACAATAAAATTGATGAGAGAGAAATAAAGAGAAACATTGTGCGTCTCGCTTTTAGTATAAATTTTAATAAACAGTAAGTCGAATGGTTGGTTGTAGAGATGATACGTAGAAGTGGATACGTTAATCTAATATCACTAGCTTGTTGCGACATCCTCATTGACCTCTCGATATAAATAAGTAAGTAAAATAAAGTCGCAAATACTAACTTTTGCAAATGTGAGTTCCGTTTTCGTAGGTGAATCCTTCCCCATTCTTGATCACGAATATCCAGTAGTAAATCGCGTCTCCGTTCCTCAGCTTCATCTTCTTGTTTTCGTAGATCCATTTCCCGTTCCGTTTCGTCGTTATATCCTGGGAGAACTGTCCGTTTCCCATCTGCTCCAATTCCTTGTTCAGATTTCCATGGAACGCGAATAATTTGATTCCTGCTTCGTCGGGTATCGAAACTCTAAATCCTCTGGGCTTAAGCAAATGGAACTTTGGCTCAGGGACAGAATACTCTGCCGCGCAGGAGATGGCCAGGAGACCGGCTAATAATATTCCAAGGAACATTTCTTCGCAATGCTATGTCTATGTCGACACTAACTGATCTTGTATATCGGCGCTCTTTTTTATGGAAAAAAATCGGCCGGCATGATTAAAGTGGGAAGAATAAATGTCAGGGGAATTACCAGTTCAGTAGCACCACTACAAAACTGATTCATAATTTAAATGTTTTGAAAATATATGCGAGAACGGAAAACAAAACAAAACAAATATATGGACATTAGTGTACAACGCTTTAATTAGTAATTCAGTTTTACGACTGGATTATTTCGCCGTGAAGAACATCCCGTCGTTAATTGCATATTTATGAGAATATCGGGACTCTTTTAATAGCGAAATGAAAATAAAGCAATTAATCTCCATGGCAAGCAAATTAAATTTACAGGTTTAGAAACACGCTATTGTACTTTGATCCATCCAAATATCAACAAGTATCATCATTCGCGCACCTCCGTATTTCAAAACAAATTTGATTGAAAACGTCTATTCTCATCCACAAGCTAAAATTTCCATTATGATTAACATTTAATAAAGATATCTAAATTCAAAATCAATCTCAAAAGTAAGCAAATTGTATTTATTGTACTTTGATCCATCCATCAAAATATTAACAAGTTACATTCACACACCGCTTTACCTCAAAACAAATTAAGTAGAAAAATGCAATTTATTCTATTTAAGTATTTTATGTATAAAATTAATTTATTTTTAGTCAGAAACGAAAGAACAATGAGATTTTTTTTTTGGAAATACTAAAACTTCATTGTGCATTGCATAATAGTTACCTTCATTCGGAACCATCTAGAATCTTCCGAACTGCCGTAATCAGTTCAAGGCTTTCATTTAACTTTTCGACTGTCAGTGTGACGATTCATTCAAAGTCTTCAGCTTTCTTTCATTTTTAATTTTTATTTAATTTATTTATTTAAAATATATCGTTAACTATTACTTTTTAAAGTAATTTTGTCTACTTTTAGTAATTGTCTACTATATGAATGAGGATTATTCTCGCTTTGGAATCTTTGTACATTGATGAATACGTATTTTTAATAGGAACTTATCATACATGTATGGATATATATTATTAAAATTTTCAATTAACATTACTAAAATAACTATTTGTTTGATTTTCTTCTTATACTTCTTGTATATCATTATACGAGTACGTTTATGAATTAATTTGTAAACAACAAATTTGTTTTCAAATTCTTGATAGCATCGGACCTAAATTAATATATATATATGATTTTTACCTAGTCCAACTGTACTGAACCTCCGAGTATTAGCCTTGTGTTTCCGATTACGATAAATCTCTATTGAATATGCGGCGGAAATATCGAAATTATACTCTAGACAGTGGTGATGGCTAAAGAATATAATTTTCAGAATTCAGAATGCATTAGGAATTACTATAATCATAGTATTTACATTTCACTTTTTTTCTAAAATAAAATATTCGTCAATTTCGACAAAACGACTTAATTACAAATAAATAATTAAGTATCAAAATTACATGACATATGTAACTGCGTCATTCGTTTGTAACTTCATAAAAATCTTGGTGACTTATATAAATATACAAAGTTTGCAGTATGACAAATATTCATTGTAATGCAAATTTATCAAGATTTTATCACATTCTGTTTTTTTTTTCATGCTTCCTGTGCAATTATTCAGAAAGATTTATATTAAAAATATATATAAATAGAGTTCCAAAGAATGTACGTTTATTTTGTTCTAATTATATGAATATTTATATATGAAAATTCTATGAAATGATAAATAATTAATTATAAAATATTACTTTTCCCTAACCGTATTACTCAAGATTTATGTCAATAGTTCTAAAGCATTTTCTGACAATCAAAAAGTGATTAATAAAACTTATAGTAAAAAATATATTTACATTAAGTATATTTTTTATGTTTTATATGTTTAAATGTTAAGCAAATGCATAAGAATTTATAAATTTACATGAAAATCTAATCAAGTAAAGTACACCGTTAACACAGTTTATACCGAACAAAACATCAATAGATTTCCTCATTATAACGCTTGAATCAGGAAACCATGTATATTCAATAATATTGTGTAAGCACCGGCTTAATTTTGTAAGCCAACATTTTGGCCCGCTTACTTTATTTTAAATGAATCACAATTTCAACACACACGATAAACCTTTACGCAAAACTATATGCTGGTGTTAATTATTCCTAAAAACAATATTTATAACACAAAATTATATTTATATTCATACATATTCTGTATGAAGTGCTTTTCAATAATAAGGTTTCACTCAGTTCGGTTAATTTATTTAGTTCCTCGATCATTACCCGAACAATACATAAAATGTGTTTTTTTATATATACATGTATTCTTCCACTAAATCATTTGTCATAAGTCATAATGAGCCTTCTTCGTATTTAATTCAAAACAATCAATTATTGTTGTAAACCTTGCGGAACAGAACTGCTATATTTGTCAATTAATTACGAACAGACGTCAGTCACGAGACGATCTAAAATTATATATGTATAAACCCATATATCGCTTAGAAATAATTTCTTTTTGCGAAAATATTTACATAAAATTATAGTTTATTATAGTTTATTGACAGTTAATCTAATTAACGGCAATTATAAAAACATACAATAAAATAATAATAATTAATAAACAATTAAAACTAACTATAGACTAGAATTGAAAGGTATAGTAAGTCATTAATACATTTCCTTAACATTCTGTACAAATGTAAAAGAATTGTGTATTCAAATTCAGACGTCTGCGACTTTCTTTCTCGAGACCATTGAAATTGCTTTCAATTTCTCACCGTATAATAAGAACACTTGCATTTGCGTGCGTCTCAGCAGTTAATTTTTATGATTAATCTAAAAAAATATATATTTATATAGAAATATATTTCATTATCGACAAACGATATTTCACACAAATCAAATATCTATCTAAAAGAAACAAGTTGTTATGTATATTATGACATACACTTTTTGTATTATTAATATTTTGTTAGTGATTAGAAGATTTCATTGAAAGTATTCTCGATAAGCTCCATTAAGTCGGGAATACCGGGAGTGTATAATATTAAACATTTTACTTGATCCAAAATAACGTGAAATGTGACTAAAGAACGTGTAAATGCGTGTTTTCTAGGTTTTTTTCATTATACATATTTCATAAATATTTATGCTTCCAGTTTTACAAATTAACTGTTGATTCACAATTTTTCTGATGACGATGCCCATTTCTGTTTTTTTTTTGTTCGCAACCAAAACAGACATTTTCTCTCCTCCTGTCCTTCGTGTGGTCTTTCGACATATGGAAATTACCTGCAACAAATAGACCAATCATCGCAATGGGCCTTGATTAGTAAATGTATAATAAAACCACAAAATCGCTAATTGGGAAATAACTACCGACAACTACCGGAAATGTTATCGAATTACATTTATATATATATATAAAAAAAAGAAGAAAGAAAGAATAGCTTATTTATAATGACAAACATTTTTAATTAATCATGTATTCAGTAAGTTTATAATAAAAAAGTAGGAATAAATAATGTTAATTTGCTGGTCATTACGAAACAAATTATATGGTACTAATGTTATTATTGCGATTTTAATTATCTTGATGAAACTTAATTATATTTATTATTGATGCATGTATGTTTTTTTTTTTGTTTGGTTAAAGATGTTCAATGATTTTACTTGAATCCATTTAACAACCTTCTTATTTCATTTTTAGTTCGATTCAATTGATTTCTTCTCGCATTTCTATTGATAAGAACACAAGGTCAATAATAGTTTATTAGCTATAATTATAATCAATCCTCGATTTATTTTTATTTTTCAAAAGAAAGGCGACTCATCAGGTTAACTGCAGACATCGGTGCCCTACTTATCACTTTCTTCTATATAAATTTAAGACGAAGGTTAGCAAAAATCGTAATTTTAAATGAAAGGTTGCACCACTGCTCGTTGCATTCAGTAGTGAAGGAAATTCAGTATGAGTCAGTCATTAACAGATTTTCTCGATGACTATCAGCGTTTCTTCTGAGAACTTTAACGAATTCACATGATTGTAAAACTAGATTTCCCAGTGGCACTTACTTTTTATGTGTGGCAATGTGCTTTCTTCCGAAATAGTTGACTAAATTTTGGAATTTATTCCACGCTTTATTCCATTAAAATGCAGTGGAAAGATATGTGATAAATGAAGACATTACTTCTATCAAAATATTTTCTTTATTATGAGCTTTCGATACAGAAGCAATTATCCTCTAGTCGTGATCTTTTGCCACTTGCATTTATAAATATGCATTTATCTATATGTAACACACATTTGTTCATTAATTATCGATAAATTCATGCATCAGTATATTCATTTATCTGCAATTATCAATGCGTCTTGATAAAAAATGTATTATAGATTTTAATTTTTTTAATAATTCATTGAACTCGGACTCTTTCTTTTTTTTTTCTAAAAAACATTGCCAAGCAAAATGACTGACTTTAATGTGATATGAACTGCAAGTGTATATTTTCTATTGCTTCTATCTACTTGTTTTCAATGTTATTTAAATATATTTGAGGAATTGAGGAATTTCTTTATATGTAATTACTATTAAAACTGTTTATTTAGCATTAGTAATTCTTATAGATGATCAAATTTTATATTTTTTAATTGCAATTATGGAGATATTATTTTATTATTATTTTTTTACACGCAAAAGGCAATTATCTGGTATTCCCAACTTCTGGGGATTTTAAAAAAGAACAATTTGGAAACAATAAAACCGCAAATGCGCTAAAAAAAAGAATATTTCAATGATTGAAAAGCAATTTTGTGGATAAAAAAAAACTACCATGAAATACAGCCGCATCCCAGCAATTGAAATCTGGAGACAGTTGAATCTTTTCTAGCGTTGCTATCGAGTCTAAGTAGCTAAGTAGAATGAATGAAATTCAATTGGATTTTAAATAACTCCATTGACATATGTACCTTCTTCCCTCAACATATCATTGTATTTTTGAGT